AGCTGTGTTGCTGGGATAATCTATTAATATTAAACAAAAAAGAAACACTTTACATTAAAAAGAATTTTTCCTTTTAGTATTTATTAAGTATTGAGTATTGCTTAAATAACAATTGCAAAATGCCCATTTCTCAAAGTTGATTACATTTTTTTTTAAATTCCCAAATTCTCTAGAACGCGCTGGTGCACGGTTTTTCCTCTTAGTCGAGATATTTCCCCAACGCCTCGGCCCAATACTGGAAGCAAATTTAGCCGCAGCTTCTGTAAGTGCCACGTGCTTAATCTCTCGCGTACTCTCTCTCTCGCTTTCTCTCTCTTTCTCTCTTTGTCTCTCTCTGTGTAGTTCTCTATGTCGAATCGCATTTCTCAGAGATCGACGGTGAGTCTAACGCATTATGATTAAGCAATGCGGGTAGCTAACTGTTGGCGATAGAGCCCTCCAAATTGTGGGAGAAATTTGTAAATGCACGTCGCCAAGCGCATGTAATTCAATGCCATAATTTCTACAAAACCAAAGCAAATAATATGCACGAGAGCAATTTCAATGAAACAAACGTAAAGAAATGCAAAAAAAAAAAACGGAAAGAAAAAATAGACAAATATGCGCGTGGGAAATTATGAAAATATTTAAAAATATTTCACACGTAATCCTTCAAAAAGAATTGTGCCCGATGAACAATGGACAATGGAGGCCCTAAGCCCATTAACCGAGATCGACAACAACACCTGACCGAGCCCGAGCGTCTGTCGATTTGTTTGGACATCGGATTAGCTGGCCAAGCTACTTAGCAGCCACTTGTCCTAACGATCAGTCCCATTTCGAATATTCTCTGTGCCGAAACATTTCAATTCTCACTGGTCTCGGGCGAGTCCGCTGCCGCAATCGTGGGCCAGCGATCTCGTCCCTGCACCGCAGGACACTCGCGGCGCTGGACGGACGCAGCAGACGCAGCGGACGCAGCGGACCCAGCGGACTCACGCAGAGTGTGAAAGGTATTATCAGTTTGACTCGATCTGGTGTGTGTTAGTTATATAGTTGTTGCCGTTTACGTTTATGTTTTGAGTTCCATTTATCAGTTTGTGGAAATGCCAGAGGAACAATGAAAAATTATGAGACTTGCTTTAAATCATTTACCATGCGCCATGATCCTAGCCCAAGCAATCAGTCCGCCTCTGGGAGGGTTGTTCTAAGTTCATCATTGGCCTTATCTGACTGCACAGATCGGATCTCTGGCTATTTCGATATTCATGTTGTCGCCGTTGCCAAATGAATGATTTCCTATATGCGGTTTTAATTGCGGCCTAAAGTGAAAAGTACAGTTAATTAGCTGCGAATTGTTGTTCGGCTGTTTGTTAGATTTAGATGCTTGTTGCTTGATAAGCCCCGAACTCATGGAAAGCATGAAAGCATTTCTATCGACAGCTAGGCAGGCAGAGAGCAGGACATGGCAGAGGGTAAAATGTACTTAATATAAATAAATGATCATGTAATCGCACAGTTACCCCGAAATAATAGCTTGCTGTAAACTGAAAATACACAAAAAGATTTCAATATTGAGAACAAACTCACATACTCACGTGAAACATTTGTATGTATATATGATTCTAACAGAAGATAGAGCATTCGGTTACACTTCTCGAGATATAGTTATTTTTATATATATTATTTGTTAAAGCTGAATTTATAAAGGTTTTATTCTACGTATGGATGTTGTGATGTTTTCGTCAAAGGCCTTAGTGACATACTAAACTAACTCTATTTAAAATATTTAGTATTTAGTATATAACTATACTGATAAAATCACAAATATATTTGTTTAAAAACTGTATAAATACATTTACATATTTGTATCCCATTAAAAGTACCCGCAGAGCGAACTAAATTGTTATATTATACACATATATGGAAGAAATGTATTGAAACCCGCTTAAACGAAATTCCACGAAAGTTATTTTTACGTAAAGGTAAAGCGCACTTGTAGAAAGCAGATTAACAAGTGTTAGGCGAGCTTCAACATTAAATTCTCTACATGAAAACATGCAAATTTAAGTCAAAAATATTCGACACTCAAAAATTATATTTGGAAATGTTTTTAGCAATCTGGCTAGAACAATGCCAGGCTATAACCGCACCAGGCTTGCTTTACATTCTTTTAGATCCCACCGCTATCTTAACATGATGCCCTTATATGCGATTCTCATAAATTGAAGTATGCTCTCTAAGTGTTCTGATTATGTATGCTATATTATATAGATGTCTATGTATTGCCCTAACAAACAAATATATTATAATTTATATGTTTTTTTTAAATATTTGTATATATACAAAATTGGCACAGGTTCTCTGCTAGTATTGTAATATAATTATATAAATATTATTTACTTTATTATATTATATTATTATAGTTAACACAACTTTCAAATTTCAAGAGCCTGCCATTGCTCACAAATCCGAGTGCCTGTAAAATACCAAAACCGCTGCAAATCCCTTTGGGTGTTACTTCCCACGACTAGCGGGGAAATTGCTGAATTTACGATGACATTTATGCGTAATTTTTGGTTACAATTTTATGGCTCTGTCACGGAAAAACCGAAAATGGAAAAAGAGTTCCGGCTAGTCGCCGCCACCCCGGGGAGAATGTCAAATAAATTTGACTGGAGTGAAAAGTCGCAATTGATGTTGGCATTGTAATCGTAATTGAAATGGAACAGTTAATTTTGAGGCATCATTAAAGGGCCACACCCACTTTTCAGCCATTCACTCCAACTTCCAGCCAGGTAGGAACACATACACACACATAGATGATCTGTTTATCAATCTCATACGAATTCCTTCGGTCTTTCGCATAATATGCAACGTCATGACTTCTTTTCGAGTCAACGCCCCTTCAGGCGCACCCTTCGGTAGTGTAATCCTTTAAGGTCCTGTCGTAAGTAAGTCCTATCGCGTGCTCAGTGCTCAATCTCTGGGCGAGCATTCGTCCCAAGCCAGGCACCGCGGGTTGCTCATTCATTCGCTTGTGATGTGTCATAATTGCACGATTTTCTTCTTCTTGTGTGAGAAGTGTGAAAATTATGGGGTTTACCCGTCGCCTTTGCACAACCCTTCACCCTTCAGCTTTCAGCGTTCAGTCTTAATGATTATGTTTGTTTGCTTTATCTTCGGCTTAAGATCGCAGAGAGACCAAAGAAATTTGTTTGCTAACTTTATGGCATATGCCTGAGTTATGGCATTTGACTTGGGTTTTCATATATCCTTTTGGTCTTGGGGGTTGCTTTACTGCTTCTCCTATTTTTTGCGTGCTAAATTGTATTTTATGATCTTGTGAGAGGAAGTTCCTATCCGATTTTCCTGTAGATAGCGTCAGCGTATTTTTTGCAATCGTTTAAAGCCTATCGCCGGAAAGATCGTGAGAAGTAACGACGTTAGGATTTGATGGCCGCAGGACTATGGCAAAGAATGTTAGTTCCTGCACAAGTAGTAGCTACGAACTTATATTTATATTAATTCCTATTTAATAAACTAAAAAACGAATACATTTTCTAAACACAAGAAGGAAACATTTTGTATGCCAGCAAATAAAATAAATTATTTCTGCACATATTTTTATGCAATAAATTTATTTAAGGCTGCATTCTGCTGAAACTGTTTCGTATCATACTCTTAACTTTAAAAATGAAAAATGATTTGTATTCAATTTTAGCTTTAACAATATACAGACACGGATTACAATGTAATTGTGCTCTCTCCTTTAATCTATAAATGCAGACAGATACATTTTTCTGATAGCATAAACAAGTTTAGAATCATGAAAATATATGTCATATTAAGAAAAGGTTTACTTTGTAGCCTTACATTAATTCACATCCTAATTGAAGTTGCCTTTTAGCTTAATTACTAGCCCAAACTCTCTTAACTTGTCCCTTAGAAGATAAATACAAAACTTTTCCTTGGTATCCCTACATTCCCCTCAGCTGCATTTCCATTCATATTTAACGCTGCTTTGAGCGCAAACTTCAATACAAAACTAAACCACAATCGCACATCTGCTGTGGCTGTGGCTGTGGCTGTTCTGACTGCGCCTGCGACTGTGCTCCAGGTCCTGGTCCTGCAACTGGCCCCTGTTCCCCGCCTCGTCCCTGTCCCTGTCCCTATCCATGTCGCAGTAGCAGTGCCCATCACCAGGTGCCTGGTGTAATTCACAATTGTTGTTACTTTTTTCTTTGAGCCCAGACTTAATTAGCTTTGACTGCCTGCTTTAATACAAATACCCAGCGATGCCTCCCCCCGTTGGTCGACGCGTGCTGCTGGCCAGGTTGGAGAGCAGGGTTGGGCGGCAGAGACAATTGGGGCGCAGGTGTGCCAATGCTAGAGCAGCGCAACAGCAGCTCTGGAACTGAGAGTCAAGAGCTCCAGCGACAGAGCGCCAGCTGCCAGCTGCCAGAGTCAATGGCTGTCCAATCAAACCCGAGCACAGCCAGCGCAGGCGACGACGTCGACGGCGACAGCGACGGCTGGATGACGACGAGGGCCCACATAAAATTGGTGTGTGCGTGTGTAAAAGAGTTCCAGTAGAAATGCGAGAAAGAGAGTGCTGCTGCTGGACTGTGTGTGTCTGACGGATAGCTGGCGCACGGATAATAAACGGATAAACCGGATAAACTCGATAAACTGGAAAGCAAGCCAATGAGAGCGCAACGGTGCGAGTCGAGCAAACAACCACCGCTGCGCCGCTTGCGTCGTGGTCGCCGCTTCGGTCAAAAGGAACTTAATGTGGTGTTCGGCACAGCCAGAGACAGTCAACATTGCGCAGCCGTTGTGAACGGACGTCTACGCCGCGCCGGAAAACCAACCAAGTCGCTACTCGAGACAATCGCCACGAAAAGTGCAGTGTGTGTGCGAGAGTAATCACCACAAAACATTGAAAAAACTTAAGAACTGAACAGAACCAAAATTTAGTTAACTATCGAAAGATGGTCTTAAACGAAATGGCCGGTGCAATGTCTGCCCTGCCCCTGTCGCTGCCCCTGGCTCAACCCAGTCCGGTGGCAAGTCCGCCGGCGAGCAAGTCGCGCATTCAAATCGAATGGGATATCAATGATACGATTGTGCCGACGGTCAGCGAATTCGACGAGTTCAACGACTGGGCCAACGGCCACTGTCGCCTGGTCTATGCAGGGCACAACGAGGACGCCAAGAAGCACGCCAGCGGCTGGGCCATGCGGAACACCAACAACCACAACGTCAACATACTGAAGAAGAGCTGCCTGGGCGTGCTGCTGTGCAACGCCAAGTGCCAGCTGCCCAATGGAGCCAGCGTCCATCTGCGCCCGGCCATATGCGACAAGGCGCGCCGCAAGCAACAGGGCAAACAGTGTCCCAATAGGTAAGTGCCAGCGACCCCCAAGAACACGCTCAAAGTCTCAGCTCTAACGTACATTTTTATTTATTCTTTAGAAACTGCAATGGACGCCTGGAGATACAGCCGTGCCGCGGCCACTGCGGCTATCCGGTCACACACTTTTGGCGGCGTGCCGGCAATGCGATCTACTTCCAGGCCAAGGGCACACACGATCATGCGCGGCCCGAGGCCAAGGGCTCCACGGAGGCCCGCCGGCTGCTCGCGGGCGGCAGGCGCGTGCGCAGCCTGGCCGTCATGCTGGCCCGTGACGCAGCGCTCAGCGATAAGCTGTGCAGTCTGCGCACCAACAAGCGCCAGGCCAAGACGCAGCAGCAGCTGCTGCTGCAGGAGGGCGGCAAACGCAAGCAGCGCTCGTCCAATGCGGAACTGCTGCTGCAGCAACAGCCCGGCACGGAGCTAATGGCGAGCTTCCAGACCGCTGGCCATGCGACAGATGCCACAGCAACTGGAACCGCAACAAACAACGCTTCCTCGATCTTTAATCCGGCGCAGAGCAGCTACGTGACGTCTCAATGGAGCACGGAGAGCTACTATCAGCCAGATGCGCCGGCACTGGGTTACAGCAGCGGCATCTACGGCTACGACATGCTCCACTCGCCGCTCTCCTCCAACAGCTCCACGGGCAGCTACTATAATGCCCCGGAGGCGCAACAGCAGCAGCAGCAACAGATTTTGCTGGAGCAGCAGACTCTGCCACAAACCAACAGCTATGATCAGACGACGACGACGACGACGACTACGTCCGGCTACCAGGCAGGCATGAACCTGTACGAGAGCTGCGATGACACCTCCAGCTTAACCAGCAGCTCTGGCTACAGCTCCGAGGATTACAGCTATTTCAATGGCTACGTGCCGCAGAGTCTGGACGTGAGCGGCAGCTCCAATGCTAGTCCGGATGGCTTCTACACGCCTCACTCGGAGATCTTCAGCGTGTTCGATCCGAACATCAATGGCGGTGGCCCCTCCACCGTGGAGCTGCTGTACGATGAGGCCACCGCCTATCAGCAGCAGCAACAGCAGCAGCAATCGCTGCAGCAGCATCAATCCTTCGTTGCATCGCCCGCCGTCGCCGTCTCCTACCAGCAACAGTCTCAGCAGCAGCAGCAGCAGCACCAGACGGCGGATTACTACTACAGCAACACGGGCGTGGACAATGTGTGGAATATCCAAATGGACGCGACTCCCGCAACGGCCTCCTACCAGAGCGCAACTAGCCAACTAGAGTCGGGCGTTGAAGTTTTCTGTTAATCCTCCCGATCTCGATCTCGAAACACTCAAGCGTTGTTCTAGTCTCTAGTTGATCCACATCTCTCGCCTCGGCCGGTTGCGCACACTCGAAGTTATGATCCCCCCTTGCTTGTTGGTTTTGTCTTTATATTTGTCTTTCATGTTTCTAGCTCTTAGTCATTGAGAACATTTGTTTCCCAGCTATTCCAAAGTTTTAACTTAAGTGCATATATAAGTATATTAGTCTGTTAGTTATCTAAGCGAGAAGCACCCACCTATTTATGAATTTTTGTATTAAAATTTTGAAAATAAAAAATATATTTTAAGACTTGAAAAATTGGGAAAACTTTTGCCCACTTTTATTGATCAGACCGGGTTTTAACCGGAAGTTGTTACCGAATCCCAACTAAACCAGATTTTCAAAATTGACTTAAAACAATATTTCGGACATCTAAAATTATCTTAATACCTTATATAATTAATAATAGCGTATCCGAATGTTTGACTTTATTTGAAAGTATCTCCAAAATATCTTTTTATTTTCAATTTTAATACTAAATATATTTTTATATTTTAGGTTAAATTAACGAATTTTGATTTTCGTTATCTTTATAAGCTTAACTATAAAGAATCGAGAAAGGCCTGGAATGCTGAAAATCCTTAAGTGGTTCGAACCATGAACCAGCAATATCTAGGTATGTAGCTTTGAAATATTTTTATCTGATTAGAATTATAGGTACCCAACCTTTAGGGTTCATGTCGTAGATCTACGAACTTGTTTTTTTAGTGCCTACCTACTCTACGCTTAGTAAAAACCGAACCCAAAGCTATTATATAATATAATGCTGATTATTCGCATACATCGGTATGTTTATATTTAAATGCCTTGGCATAAGTAATGCATACATTTATGATTTCCGATCAGTGTGAAACATTTTAAATCAAAGACGGCGAGTTGTCGTCCTGATCATCCTGCGACGAAGGGTTCCTCAAGCTCGAACGTATGTGATTAAAGATATTGGCAGCAGAGTCTGCTACATTACCACTGTTGTGTTCACTATTAATGGAGCTGGTAGAAGGATTGGGTTTGGGAGAGCATATGTCACCCAAGCTGTTCCGTATGTGGTCGAATATGGAATTATCTTCGGCAGTATTGGAAACAATGGGCTGTTCGATGTGGCCAGTGCTGGACGAAGCATCCAATTTGGGGAATGCAGCAAGGCATAGTTGGGCCATGGTCAGATCTGGTGCACAATGCGAACCGGGCTGGGGCTCGGAATTCGAAGCTTGGTTAACTGCCTCATTCCAAGCATCCTGAAAGTTATATGGTATTGGGTTGCCAATATTTCTATTCGTGATGTGCAATCCGTCTCCAACCGCATTAAATGCCTCTAGAGCTGCGCTTTGCGCGTGGAGGAACATCATCATCCTGGCGTTGAACCTGGCAACAGCTCCGTCCAGGATGGAACTGTTTGAAATCGCCATTAGGCTGTCGCTTATTGCAATGGTTGTTGAAGAGGGAGGAGCAGATGCAGCTGCGACTACAGATTCAAGTTCAGTTTCAGTCGGAACTGAGGCAGAGGTTATTGCCAAAGCCAAGCTTGGACTGGAGGCCAAGTCCACGTGTGGCTCCTCGCAGCACGGCATAGCCGGCATAGCTGGTATGTCCGCGAGAGCAAAACCCATCGGCGAATCCGAAGTGGGCTTAAAAAATCTGGGTGAAATCAAAGACTTGCGCTTCGGACGAGGCCTGAACGGCACTCGCTTGGGCCCCAGATTACGTCGCTTACTCCGCAAGATCGGCTGCTTACGAGCCCTGGTGCTGGCCGCTTTCCGAGAGGTCTGGCGACGAACAGTCAAAGATTTCTGTGGAGCAGCATCTGGCATCTCGGCCACATTGCCAAGCAAGTCTGCCTCTGCCTCTGCTTCCTTCTGCTGAGGGAGCTCAATATCCTCTGACAAGGCGGGCTCCTTGGACTTTGCCGCTTTCTTGCGCCGATTCCCCGAGATCTTGCTGCGCACGTTCTTCCGGCCATCCTTGTTCAGCAGATCCACGACTTTTACGAACCATGGCAACAGGTCGGATATGTTACCATCACAGTTCAGGATCATGGGTATGGATATCTTTTGCTTCGGCTTGCTGTGCCTTTTCACGGGCTTGCGTACCGCTTCCTTTTTGGTATCAGTACTTCGACTCTTTGCCATCCCGAAAGGCTTTTCGTTTTGTACAAATGCTATAAAAACTAAAAGCTATTTAAAAAAAGAACTAAACTAAATATTTTTGCTTAGAATATTCTTGTTTGCACTTTTCGTGTTTCTTTTGTTGTAACCTAAAATGAAATAAAATATTTTGAACACAATTCGTACAGCTCAACAGCTTGACATGTGCCTCGCCTGTTGCTACGAACCTAACAAAATCTTGCATATTGCATTTCAAAAAGGAATTTTTATCTGTGAACCAAAGGACACTGGGATAGCTCGATTGGCTAAGAAAGCGAAATCAATATTTGGTTCATCTTCTCTCTCCAATTAATTGCGAAATTAAACATCTCATCTACATTAAATGTCCTTCTATGGGAACCAATCGTATCAAAATGGAGTATATAACATTCAGGTATTCATTTATTTATTTTTCGTGTGTATTCCTAATTACTCTATATAAGTATCAAAATTTAAAAATTAGATGCGAAAGGCCCAATTAGAATAGACAATTGCTGAAAACATGCTAAAAGGTATAAAAAGATATCAATAATGGACTTAGTATTTATTTATATTTAAATCATTTTCTCCATTGCTGGACATCATTCTGAAGCTACTTTGTGCCTCTTGCAGTGGATGGATCAGCTCTTCCAGAGATGGTAACCGGTAAGTTGAAGATCCAAACCTTACGTATTAACCATATACTATGACTAATGCATTAAAGAAACCAAACTATTTTTTTCAAGTTATAACGTGCTCTTTTCTTTGACGGTTGCATTATTCGTTTAGGAATTCAATTTGCGAATTGCGATTGAAAGCAACGAAAACTTTTGTTTTCCAATTTATTTTATATCATTATCTATTTTCCAACTTTATTCAAGATATATTTATTCTAGTGAAAAGCTATAGAACATTATAATTCATCAATTTGATTAAAGATAAATTGAAAATATTTAGTAGAAAGAAATATTGTGAGTCGAATGAAAGTAGAAACAGTTTTGTTGGACACGCCATGAACTATGCCTTTATTTCAAGAATTTCTTAAGATTGTGTTATTCCTGTGTCTTTTTTAAAAAGTAACAAAATAATTTCAATGATTGAATGATAACGTAAAACATTTACACCGTCTGCCCGTGAGCAGCAGGCGATTAGCTAGTCACGGGGGTTAAGGGGGCAAGATCTAATCCTGATCGCTGTCGTCAGGTGCTGAGGGCACTGACGCCTCGGCTTGGTTATCATTCAACTCGAGAACAAATGCAAAAATGTTATCAGCCGAACGGCTCAGCTGGACCGTATTGATGGGCACCACATGGAAGCCGTCCCCACCGGCAAGCATATCGATACCTTCAGCCAGCGGAGGCGGGGCTAATGGCGGTCCCAGCAGAACCTGCTCGTCCACGGGAGCAGCAGCCACCGCCTCCATACGACGCATCTGCTCGCTTAAAGAATCCTGCTGCTGTTGCTGATGGTGCTGCTGCTGCTGCTGGTCGCCTATGTTGTCCGTCACGAAGCGCAAGGCATTCATTAGGTTCGGCAGACCCGGGCGGAGTCGATAATCGTTTTGAGCTTGTGCCTCGCCTGGAACCAATGGGGCATTGTCTGTCATAATGCCGAATGGATCTTGAGGCCCATTTGGATCAATCGCGTTCTGGAACGTAGCCGCCTCGTCGATCGACTCCATTGGCAAGGGCGCCAATCGGCGTCTCGGATCCACTACATGGGACACCATTTGTGCCAATTGGCCGCGCTGCACCTGGCATTCGGCTATATTGCGTTCGCAATCGGACAAATAGTTGTGTATTATCTCCAGACTCTCCTGCGAGGTGAGCATCTGCGGTCTTCTGTTGCCCAACGCAGCGGAACGACGGTGCACCCGTCCACTGTGCACATCCTCCCGTGGACTTATGCCCAGGCGTTGCCTGGCAATGGGTATATCGTTTCGCGGAGCGCGTGATCGACCACGCTCCCGCCTGCCGTCAAGCGCCGGCAGCTGGGCTGGATGATTCCGGGGTGCACGTCGCATACGCGCATTTCGATCCGATGGCTCCGATGTGGAGCGACGGCCGCGTGAGTTTGATTCCTTAATTGGAGGCATTGCGGAACTCCGATTTGTATTCTGATAGTATCTGGTGTTCTATGTCAGCGTCTGTGTGTGAAGTGCTAAGAGTTAAGACTGATCCGAAGCATTGAATACAAACCGGACCTTGACATTTTCCGGCTCACTACGTTTGCAAGTTATTTGTTCATGCCTTAAATTATAAAATCCCAAATTAAGATATACCTAATTTCACTAAATTGACTAAGTTAATCTTGAATTTATGTCTATCCAATTCATTTAGATCCGGATATATAAAATTGAACAATGTAATATATAATCTTATGTAGAGTTGCTTAGCTTAAAGAGTCGTCGTGCTTTTAAATGATAATTATGATTAAAACATTCTTCTTGGCCATTTTCAGTTTTTTACAGCGCTGTTAAGCAATGTTAAACTTAGTTATGTTATGCTAGTTATGTTATACTTATAGGTATGAAACGTATCCTTTATAATTGTTAATTTTATAATAATATACTCCATTTTTCTTTTTACCATATTGGTATGTAACAGACCTATCCCCCCTTTGGAAAACCTTTCGTTTTACTTCTAAGTGGGACCCTTCTTCGGACTATACGCTGTCAGGTTCCGTCTGGTCTAGTCTGCCCTGATATAAAGTTGAATTAATATTCTACTAAAGACACAGAAAAACTAAAATACATTTGCATTTAATATTCAAGCCTCATCTAAACGACGTTCCCTTAAAACTTCAACTTAAGTTAACCTATTTCAAAACATGCTATCATGAATATTACCTAAGATCCGTCCTGGAAGTATCCTGCTTCATTTGGGCCTCAACAGCTAAATTAGTGGAAAGCCCTCGTGCGAATATGTGCATTAACAAATTGGCTGGCTCTATGAGATGGATATGCATATTGAATTAGTTTGGCAAATTCGCGCAACCTCAACCCCAGATG